ATAATAGTCACCCCTTAATCCCCTCATCTGACGAATCAACAATGCCCCCGAGACGCACCGTAGAAAGTCTGATGGAAGCCCCCGATCGCCCCAGTACGGCATTTTAGTTTTGACCGAAACATGGCTCAATTATCGAACCATTTCAAACTATGTCTTTGGTGCTGGCTACGAAATATTTCGCTGCGATCGAAACACGAATAATTGTAGGAAAACTACTGGGGGAGGCGTCCTTAACGCAGTTAATTCCAAGCTGAAAGCAGAAGTTTCCTGGAACAGGGTTGAACAAATGTGGGTGACTATTCAACTTGGTGATCGTCAATTGCTTCTCTGTGCACTGTACATTCCTCCAGATCGAACCCGTGACTTGGAGCTTATTGACGCACATTGTCGATCCGTCTTGGCCACTTCAGACAAAGCAGGCCCTTCCGACGAAGTTATTGTTCTTAACGATTTTAACCTACCGGACATTGCATGGACTCCAACCCATAGTGGTTTCTTTTGTCCTGATCACGAGAGTTCATCTTTCGACGTAGGAACCATCCAGCTCCTGGACAGTTATAGTACCGCAATTCTGTCACAAATCAATGGCCTGTTGAATGAAAACAACCGCACCCTGGATCTCTGCTTTGTGAGTGCTCGTGATACAGCTCCTTTCCTCTCCACGGCACCCGAACCTTTAGTCAAGGAAGTGCATCATTACCCTGCTTTAGTTATCGTGATCGAAATAATATTGTCCATGATTTCACCAGCACTCCAAACGCTGTGTCATATGACTTCCGTAGAGCTGACCATCGCAGTATCGTCCATGTGCTGTCTAACCTAGATTGGGAGCATATTCTAGATCCTGTAGACGTCAACATTGCTGCACAAACCTTTTCTCACGTCTTGGCATATGTCATTGACAGACACGTTTCCAAAAAGATCATCCATATCGACTCTCGCGTCCCGTGGATGACGAAAGATCTTCGCTCGTTGAAAAGAACTAAGAAGGCTGCTCTCAGAAGATTTACTAAACTCCGCACACTGCCGCTGAAATGCTACTATGTCAGACTCAACCACGAGTATAAGCGGTTAAGTCGTCTCTGTTTTCAACGCTATCAAAGGAGGATTCAACGGCGGCTAAAATCACACCCGAAATCCTTCTGGAACTTCGTAAATGAGCGACGCAGGGAAGTTGGCTTACCCTCTTCCATGATTTTTAATGGTGAAACTGCTGGAAATCAACAAGACATTTGCAACCTGTTCTCAGCCAAATTTGCTAGTGTGTTTGAAGACGAGCAATTCTCCGCTAATATCATTACTTCCGCGGCCAGTAATCTTCCTTTGATCAACCAAACGCTCAGCATGGTCGAAGCCACTACAGATACGATTTCTAGAGCAGCATCTAAACTTAAGACTTCAACTAAGGCTGGACCCGATGGTGTTCCGTCGATTATTCTTAAAAAGAACATCACTTGTCTTTTAGATCCACTGCGCCGCATATTCCAGCTCTCTCTTTCCAGCGGCATCTTTCCGTCTTGCTGGAAGACTGCGGATATGTTTCCTGTTCATAAAAAGGGAAGCAAACGCGACGTAAACAACTACCGGGGAATCACGTCGCTGAGTGCTGTATCAAAACTTTTTGAATGCGCATTGCAAGCAATATCTAAGTACAGATCAACACGGATTCATAACTGGGCGCTCCACAACTACGAACTTGCTGTGCCTAACGTCTTACATCACAGACAGTTTGATTGCTCGGATCCAAACGGACATTATTTACAGACGTCATTTACGGCAGCCTTCGATAAGCTGAACCACGAAACTGCGATCGCTAAGCTTGATAGACTAGGGATCCGTGGGAATCTTTTGAGATGGTTTCGTTCATACCTCACGAAACGCCAATTGACAGTAACTTTGGGTACTTGTCGCTCAGCAAGCTTCTGCGCAAAGTCCGGTATACCTCAGGGTAGCCATCTGGGACCATTGGTATTTCTCCTACAGAGCGACGATTATCATTTGCAGACGATTTGAATGTTTTTCTGCGCATCCGCTCACTCGCCGACTGCCTTTCTCTCCAAAATCAGATTGACATCTTTGCTGACTGGTGTAGTCTAAACCGACTGGTGGTCAACCCAGCTAAGTGTACAGTTATTACTTTCTCACGCAAGAAACAACCGATTATTTTCAACTACAAACTACTAGGCACGACTATCGAACGGGTGCACTGCGTGAAAGACTTAGGCGTTTTTCTAGGCTCAAAGCTGACATACTCACACCACATATCGTATGTCGTCGACAAAGCGTCCAGAACGCTTGGCTTTGTCTTCAAGATTACTTAGAACTTCACGGACATTTACTGCTTGAAATCGCTCTATTGCTCTCTCGTACGATCTACGTTGGAATACTGCTCTGCTGTCTGGAGCCCGAACTACAATAATGGGGCCGAGCGAATTGAATCTGTTCAACGACGTTTTCTTCGCTTCGCGCTCCGTAAGCTGCCTTGGAGATACCCACTGCGTCTTCCAAGCTACGAGAATCGCTGCCAATTGATCAACGCCGAGCCCTTACGTATCCGAAGAGATGTTTTCAGAGCCTTAACCGTCGCCGATACTCTGCAAGGAAGAATCGACTGCGAAGCAATTCTGCAACAAGTGAACATTAATGTTCAACCTCGATCACTACGCAACAGTCTTATGCTGAGACTTCCACTTCTTCGAACTAATTATAGCATAGGGAGCGCTATTTACGGCTTGCAGCGAGTGGTTAACCGAGTAGCGTCGATGTTCGATTTCCACTTGACACGGAATATGCTTTGCCGAAGCTTCTCTGCCTTTTTTGCTGACCGAAGGCGCTTGATGCCTAACAGCTAAGTGAAAAATTTAAGACTTATAAATTTTTAGTAACTTCACAATGCTTTCCTAGTTATTTTCATTTGTAACTGTAGTATATGTATGTCGTCTGTATAATCTGTACTTTTTTTCCAACACATCATTGGGACTATTTCTAGTATGTTAATGCAACCATAACAAATAAATAAATAAACCAAAGGTCGCCAAGTCCAAGATAAAAACCTCCAGTGACTGCGTTTTATCCTTCCAGTACAAGAAGCAGAGTGCGCACTTATCTTCCTCTCGCATACATATTTGGTGGAACATCTCCTTAATATCTGCGTTTACCGCCACCCAAAACTGACGGAATCGATATAAAACCGCTGGCAACGCCGTGAGCTGATCCGGGCCCTTAAGCAGCATACTATTTAATGAGACGCCACCAGCCTTCGCCGAAGCATCCCAAATAACGCGCACTTTTTCGGGTTTTGTTAGGATTGGTTACCACACCCTAGAGGGTAGAAATGCACTTTTGATTCACGTCACCCCTGGCAACACTGCCGCACACCCGTTTGGGTAAAGCTCAAAATAAACCCTGAGACCTGGTAGTTTTCAATTAAACATTTTTCCCGGACCTTTTATAGGAGCGATGAAGACATTTGAGTACATATTTCGTCGATCTTATTGAAGACTTTTTATAATAAACCTGACATGCCTGATTCAAACGTTCATTTACGGAAATGTTACCGCAAATAAGGCAAAAATTGCCTTTGACAACCATAAATCTGGAAATGAGTTGGATTCAAAAAAGCTTACATAGTGGCACTTTTGCCACGGGTGACTTTCTTGCCCTTAGTTTCCCTAACAATTTATTTAGAACACTTTGCCGAGTACAACGAATACAATCACTTCACCAGCTGAACTTCTGTTATCAGTTGTCACTTGTTTACAATTCAGTGTGAAGGATGCAGTTGTGAGCATTTTCGAAACTGATACTACCCATTAAATGATTAAAAATGTTACTTATTTATGAGTATTTGCTACTCATAAATGAATGTTTACTACTCAGTTTGAAATTGTTATCATTTAATATGTAGTCCCAGTTTCCATCGAAAATTCTTACTTTGTAGTCATTATTGATAAATTTGCAGTTACTGCATTGTATAACACGAAAATCCGCCACAGATCCGTTTTGCTAGGCCCTATGTAAGACCAATCTATTTTTCTTAGTGCCATTCTGCCGAATTCCAGTGACAGAAGCAATTCCGACCTTTCGTGGCTCCCATCAACACATTCCTGAAGAACGCACGAGGGACGGTCCCCAATCATTAGTTATAGGCATCGCTCTGATTTGCCTCCCATTTTCGTACCTCCTCGTCCAACTATCATCATCTGCGCATAATAATTTATGCTTCATCCCGATCATATATCAAACCAATATAATCACACGCCGCAGCAGTATTGTACCACACGCAACGACGGCGACGACGATCGGTTCAGCCAAGAAATTTTCGAATCCTTCTTTCATCTTCACCTTCTCGTTCGAATGTATTCTTCGCTGAGAGCTCATCTTCCTATCTCTCCGCCGTCCCTGGCTGTGGCTGCGTCTGCTCTATCCCATTCTTACCGGAAGCTATCAAAATTCTTTCCCTTCTTTCTTCTTCTTTCCGGTGTGGTGTTTGGTGGTTACTGGTATACGAACACGAACGAGTCTACTACCCCCCAGGGCAAGTCTCGAATCTCTTAGTGAATTCGTTTATTATCGGGGTTGGAACCAGTTCCAACCCAGTGCGAAACCGAACTTTTTGTCAGTGCGAACCTCAACCTGAGCTGGGTTTTAAAAACAAACGATCAAACTGACGTTTGTCAGAAAACAAACAGACCCAATCTTGATACCCGATCCAGGTTGGAACTGAATAATAAACGAATTCGCTATCTCTTTTGGTCGACGCATACCTTAAGCTTAAGCTGCTTCGCAGAACCAGCAAACAAAACACACACACGAACCGTCATTGCATATTTCACAGTGTTCTAGAAATGCACGCTCCCGAGAAGCTTCGGTCCTTGATTGCGTGCGAAACTTTGATCACGTTTAGGAATTTAGACCGTGGCTCGAATCAACTACATCAACAGCGTACACTACACACTCATTCGGTTTATTCTTAAAACAAAAATCAAAATAATACTCACCGTCAAAATAAATTTCATTCAACAAGGCGTCCACAAAGGGGCAGCAAAAAATGTCTTGATCCCAACGCTGCGTTGTTGAGCTTCGATCGTGAAGAGCACAGAGAAGACACACGACGAACGATCAAAATCCAATCCAAAATCCACACCACCTCTGCTGCTCAATCGCCTCGCTCGTCGTCGGAAGATGAAAGAAGGGCGCCGCACCGCGCCGCGACGGCGGTATACGTGCGCGATTCAATAATGTGCTGCCTTCTCGGCCTATAACAACACACACGCTCGTTGTGTCCGTCTATGTGTATGTGTATGCGAGCGCGCGCATGAGTATGCTACTTTTATGCTGCACCAGCAGAACCAACCAATATCGAGGACGACGAAGCCAGTAGTTTACTGCGCTGGTAAATACAAAACGGACAACGAAAATAAAACTCGTTTGCCCTCTTTCGATGTATTGGTTTGCTGTGTAAGTGTCAAAACCAGTAGCACTTTTCAAAATAATCGCACTATTTCGCGCAATTCGAACTCAACATGCCTTAAAACTGCACATTTCCATGCACTTTTCACAACTTTAGCCCACCGCCGGGCGAATTTCCACACTTTCCACTGTTTTGGAGCAAAAAAATCCACCCAAATTCACTTGTTGCTTCCGAACTTGCGGGAATCTGGAAGCTTTCCGTGTGTAAACTGGTGTGCGACTGTTGCGAACGAAGCGCAGCTCCTGTTCATACGGGGTCCCCTTGTTTTTCGTCGCTTTTTAGCACTTTACACGACGCCGTGACCACACGAAACTGACATTCACGACCGAAGGAAACCGTTACCGTGCACTTAAACTCCTACTTGAATCGAAATTGCACAAAAATTACGTGAATTTCACACGAACCGCAGGAGACGACGGATTTTTGGTACACGATTTTTTTACTAAAATGGCGACCTTCAATGACGTGCGATGATTTGCTAGAGGGGCACTCGAATCCGCGAGCGGCGGCGGTTTTCGCCCACGAAGCCGCATCGGCCAAAGTATGTCATCAGCGTCAAGATATCTGGAGCAACAATAGAAAAGAGCCCATTCGCATTTGTAAAAAAAAGCGCACAAAGCAAAGACCGCCCACGCAAACCAACAGCATCATCATGTGTACAGAGATAAAATCCATGGTTGGAGCTGGTACTATGAAATCGTGCTCAAATTTACTGCACTTGCACTTAATAATTGTGATAACAATGAAAATTGGAGTTGGTTGGAAATGCTAACATGAAGCTTTAGTGTGATGATTTATTAGCTAGAGAATGATCTTTGGAAGAGGGTAGGTGGATAGTTCCGTTAGAGTACGGCAGTATGAAAATTGAATAGAAGTTGAAAATGAGCGAAGGGCCATTAAAGCGACAGTTTACAAGATGGACGCACATTTTTGCCTGTGGACTTGGAGACATACTTCAAGTCCCCGCGTACATCGTACGGGCTAGGCAAAAATGTGCGTCCATCTTGTAAACTGTCGCTTTAATGGCCCTTCGCTCATTTTCAACTTCTATTCAATTTTCATACTGCCGTACTCTAACGAAACTATCCACCTACCCTCTTCCAAAGATCATTCTCTAGCTAATAAATCATCACACTAAAGCTTCATGTTAGCATTTCCAACCAACTCTGAAAATCGTTAACTTCGCGTATGAAGTAACATAAAAAACACTTTGAATGTAACAACTCAAGGCGGGAGTAGCCGTCAACAATGCTGATGATGGTACAGCACGCAACAACCACCCTACTGCTTTCTCTCTGAGATGATCACGTTGGTCATGACGAGAGGAGCAACACAATAGTTGGGTAAAGAAGAACTGCATTATAACACACCATCGACTGGAAATGCTCTCGCAAACGTGGGGCTTTAGGTAGTGATGAAAACGTCGCTAGAACTATTCCACAGCCGCAGTCAGTTTATGAGCAACAGGAGGGACGCACATTTTTGCCTGTGGACTTGGAGACATACTTCAAGTCCCCGCGTACATCGTACGGGCTAGGCAAAAATGTGCGTCCATCTTGTAAACTGTCGCTTTAATGGCCCTTCGCTCATTTTCAACTTCTATTCAATTTTCATACTGCCGTACTCTAACGGAACTATCCACCTACCCTCTTCCAAAGATCATTCTCTAGCTAATAAATCATCACACTAAAGCTTCATGTTAGCATTTCCAACCAACTCTGAAAATCGTTAACTTCGCGTATGAAGTAACATAAAAAACACTTTGAAAATGAAAATTGTCTCATTTACCATGTGCATGACTTTACACGAAGATGAAAAACTAACCAAATTAAGTACTTTTCCCTCAATTTCCAGGTTCAGATCATTGATCTTCATGGATTCAAAGAGAACCTTCTGGACATTTTGGAACTTCTGATAAGTTAACCGAACCTCAAATCGAACAAATTCTGACGATTCTTGATGAGCTTTGATTAGTAGCTTCGTTCTGTGTATTATTCTGCCACCGTCTTTTCACCTTAGATGACACTGTCTTGGTCCCACGGATCGTCCTCAGGTTCGTTTGTGGAACGCCATCTGGTAATGCGACGATGTTTGTCGAAGAGGTCGAAATAAATTTGTTGCTGGAGCTGGAGCAAAATAAACATTCTGGAGCAACAAACCCATTCTAAATCACTTGTATCACGAAGCAAACACCGCCCACGCAAACCAACAGCATCATCGTGTAGAGGAAAAGGCTTGAGAATGGTTTGTTTGCAAATGCTGATGGGCCTTTTTCAGTTGTTGCTCCAGAAACAATCTGAAAAAATAAGAACCATACTGTTTTCCGGGACCGAATACACTCACACATAAACACTCTCTACAATACGATAGAGAATGATTGCGTGATTTCATAGTTTAATCACAGACAAACAGACATAACTCTTAGAAGAAAATTCTTCGAAAAATATCGTCAAGCGTATTTTGCATGCGCACTAGCACCATCTATCATCCAAATTCCCAAGCATTGTTTTGCAGCTGGAGCATCCCTCGTTCATGCAATTTTTTCAATAATTGCTTTTCCCTCGTTCTGTCAACGCGTCAGCTGTGTTGAATAAAAACAAAACAGATGGAAGTCAGTGATGTCGGTTCTACGAAATTTTCCGTATATCTATAGAATTGATTGAATTCTGCAGAAATACGGATCCGTAGGAAAAATTTACATAAGCTCAGACTTTTTTTTAGGGATCTGTTTTGTTTGTTTAGTGTGCTTTTTCTTTTACTGGAAACAAGTTTTTAAACGAGGTAATGCATCACTAATTATTGCCCTTTCAACCACCGCTTATCACTTTAATGTGTACACAGCAAAAATGTATAATATCATGTATCAATCAATGACATTCATGGTGAAGTATTGAACATCAATAACTGGTAAAAGTTGATATAATATTACAGACGTCAAAATGATTTGTTCTCGAATTCTGTGTACATCGTACAGCGTAATATTAGGAACGGAATGACTAATGTGCAGCAGTTTTGATGTAATATTCAACAACTTTTTTTCTGTATTCGTCAGATGTGGTATGCAGTGGAATGTCTTGACCACTTATCATTTTCAAGAGCTTACATCTACTAACTAGACGTGAAAAAGAACTGGCATCACTGATAAGTTCGAAATGTGGTGTCTTGCTCAATGCTTCAGTGGCCCCTAATAAAAATAACCATAAAAGAGAGCTTAACGACGTGTTCGGGGTATCATCCAAACCATTTGTGGGATAGTTTACCCATCCGGGATACAGTTCTTCGTTAATGGTATTTGTTTATTGGGGGTGCCACCATGACAAATGCAAGCACTTTCCCAACTAAAACATTATTTGCGATGAATGTGATTTTGAGCGTTATGTCTGTTTGTCTGTGGTTTAATCATATAGTTGGTGCCTCGGTTGGTGCATACTGAATCAAAGGTTAAGATTAAATCCATTTTTTTTTAAATCTGGATGAAAACGTCTTATTCTACTCGATGGAGCTTACCGCTATAAAGGTTTGTTTAGTTTTCTCGCGCCTTTTGGATTTACTTGTCAATGAACGTTACAAATAATGGGTTGTTAAAAACCATTACCATTCAAAATTCTTGTTTTCTCCATACATTTTCGGAAAGAAAATTATATTAGAACATTTTTACTTATGGTTTGATAACTTTAATGGCAATGGTTATGATAGTCAGTAAGTTCCATGGCTGATTTTGTAACAGCGATCAACTTTATGTGGAATATATCGCGAATGGACCTTTTTGACGTTTAATCGTCTTTCTCTATCTAGCACACATGGATGAATGAACGGTATTTTTCCCTCTGTTCGGGACCTAACACCACTGCGACCAGTAATTTGATCTATTGTAGTATATCCCGTGTCCTTAGTTTAGTGCATGTCGGATTACTCCATCAGTATTGAGAAATTATGAAGTATTCAAGTTTTTACCGTTGTCATCCTTGCATTTATCGCAAGGATCTGACTCTAATTGAAAGGTCCCGCTATTTATACCCTTTGGAGTTTTTAAACACTCTCCAAAGGCGCGCCCCTTTGTCAGTCAAAATTGGATTCCTTAGCAACAAAATTAAGGAATGACAGCAATGATGACCATGCATCAGAACCCTAGTCTTGACCACTTTAAACTAGGGAAGTGGAAGATTAGGAATCACATTGATGAAGACTAACTAACTCATTTTTTTTCTTGTTTCAAGATCATCTTCGGTGAGCAAAGCCGAGTCTTGTCATTATCAACAAGACATAAAAAGTAACAAGGACTAAGATGTGTTCCTTAGATTACTGAAAAATCCTGTTCCCCTAGTTTGAAGCAGTCATTGTAGTGTATGTGATATGGTTAATATCTCGGTTAATATAAAATAAAAATTAATTTACTTTAATTTCGTGTGAAGTTGACAAAGTGCATTTGGCAACACTGGGAGTCGACACACATGACATAACTAGACGATTTATACGCGCCGAGAGCTGGGGGGGGGGGACGTGCTGTCAAATCAGCCTACTGATCATCTTGTATGAAACTGGTTCCAAACGTAAACAAACGCTGTAGGTTTCTTATGGCTTGTTTACGTTTGGAACCAGTTATGCGAGGTAGGCGACTATTGTTCGTATTTGACAGCCACCCTTGGCCGAGAGCAGTTGAGTATGAGCTTCGGAAAGCTCCGAATACACAAATGTGATTCGTGTCATGAAAAACGAAGATCGGCTTCGAGACGACATCAGACATCAGGGAGATAGAATAAATGATTGTTATGATGCTCTGGGATAGAAGAGTGCAAAAGGTTGCATGACTGGTTCAGGCTGGCTAGTCGCTCGTCTCGCATTCTTGTGTCTAATTTTAAAGTGGATGGACGTAGCTGATCAACGCGGGATGGTTTGGCTGGCGGCGTTCCAGTGACAAAAGATCGAGGCTTGCAACCTCGATCTGAGTTCACGACTAGGAATCAGTGTTAGATCTTACATCCCGTAACGTACCACGAAAAGGTGATCTAACCACGTTCCGGGGCGAATGAACGGTTTGTTTTCCCACTAATCTGTTTCCCTCTTGCTCGCACTCGTTCGATTTGAATGGTGCAGTAGTGTACGCCGATTGAACGTCAAAAAGCCCTATAGTTTGTCTGTAAATTAATGATTACCAGTTCGCGATATATTCCACGTAAAGTTGACCAACAATACAAAACCATTCACACTGTAACTGGAAAGTACCCATTAATGGGTGAAAAAGTGCCTATTTCGCGGTAAAGTAGGTAAACTCATAAAATGGGTAAAACATCATTACCCACTAATGGGTAAAGAGGTTGTACGTCAAATCATGGAGTACTTTTTACCCATTTCCAAATTTGATTGTATTTGGTAATTGGGTAAAAAGTACCCATTTTAAATAATATTTCAATGGGATATATTCGAAAATTTGTTTTTTGTATGGAAAATACGGTTCGAAAGTAAAGAAAATAAAAATGACTGATTACTAAACTTGGTTTTTATTGAACATAGACAATGAATTTAGAAATACAATAATCGTCAGAATCGTTTTCGTCAGCATTGATGGATTCCATAAACTTTTTTTTTTAAAGCTTTATTTAAGATATTGTTAGCCTTAGGCTAGTTCATCTCTAGGATTCCATAAACGATAAAACTAAACGATTGACCATCTGCCGGGTGCTGGTCGTTTTGATTCTGTAACACATGAACACAAAATCAATAATATTCTGCACTGCTGCTGGCGGACGAATGTTGAAAACAGTTAACACTTTGAATAGAGTGTCCAGCGCGCAGATGGAGTCAATTCCACCGTGGATGCGTCAACGAAGATGGATTAATTGTTGCCATTGAAATTCAGACGGGGCACCAACTTTTATTTTATTTTTAAACGAGACAAAAGCACTCCAAAAGACGCATTGAGAACAATGTATACCTAGTGATGAAACGTCACTAATATATTGTTATAATTATGTGTTTCGTTTCAGGTTTGCTGAGATCTTCGAAGAAGTTCACTTTCATAAAGAACCGAACCCATTCCATAGCAGCATCCATCACAAAGACTGTCCTTAAGAACATTAATTTATTGCTGATCATGCTGAGGAAACTGCATTAGCTGCAACCGACACATCGAAATCGAAATCGTGGAGGCCGTTGAGAGAATGTCCAGCACAACATTTCAATGAATTTTTCAGGGAGAAGCTGCCACCAGGTGAATTTTTTTTCAGTTACAGTCTTGAGGACGTGGATGGAACTCTGGAGAGGTCTTCCGCCCATTTAATCGTAAATTCAACAAGAAAATTGAATTGCAATCGTTGATGATCAATATAGGTGAAATGGCTCTAAGATTGGGCCCATCGCTAAAAATCTGCTATTAATCAATTTAATCTAGATGAACGCGTCATTGGGACGGTACTAACATAGAGGTAACTCTAAGACTAGTAGGTCCCGAAGAAACGTGCTCAACTTTTTGGCTCAACTCTGGTACTATCTTCGGTCCCAAGCTAATCGATTCACCCCTCGAAACATAGGAAAATCCACTAACGCCTCATTTTATCTGTCAAACTTTCATAGCGAATCAAAACTAGTGTAGTACTAGAATTTTGACTAGAATGGGGTACGTTAATCGATTTGCTTGGGACTAATAGGCTAGTCAAGTAGTGAGCCAATTTAAAATCGATAGTTTCGTATTGATTGTTGGTACTATTGGATATTTTTGGTCGCTATTGAAAATTTAGTCGAGTGCTGAATTTATTTATGGGCCCAAATTAGGGGCATTTATGTTGACATTACATTCATTTCCCCTACATTATAAAGAGTTTCAATCTTTTTAATTTGTTTTTTTTTTCACAATGTATTTATTGGTTATAGGGGAGTTTACGTATTCTCGGCAACCTATAGCCTTTTTATCTAAGAAACGTACACATATGCTGTATTGGTTTGTTTACAATCTTTTACTGTCAGCTGCTCTAACAATTTCAGTCGAAAGAATTGTCAAAAACTGTTTTGAAACGCTTTTACAAAGCTCCAATCTTCTCTAGTGAGAGTGACTATTGTAGGCAACATCTTTTTATTCGGCAACCTTTCTATTTGAACTGCGTGTTTCATCGGCAACTAGAAATCAGCAGCATTTTGTAGTGCGTGTGTTTCATTTCAAGAAAACTCTGCTAGATTGATTTTTCTTATTAGTTAAAATATAACCAATTGAAGCTGAAAGCCTAAAGAATCGTTTGAATGCATACAACGAAGTGTTTTCTTAAAAAATCCAGTGAAATCAGCGTTTCAATTTGAGTTGCCGAAAATAGTCTGTCATGCCGAAGCCATCATTTCCCCTATCTCTGATGACAGGGAACAATTTTTTTTTTTAAATAGGTACTTTCTACTCGTGTATAGAATAAACATGAAGGGTCCCATTTTTTTTAAGTATTCCTTAAATACTAATTAATTAGTAAAGCCGGTTTTACGCATGAAATAAGTTAAGCCACTTTTCTATAAAAATTGATGAATTTGTACTCATTAAGAGCGACCGTACCAATGAGTAAATAAGGCACATTTACCAACCTCTACCATAACGCTACTTGCGTACCGGGGGTTGCTATTCAGGTGGAGGGAATAGCAATCCGCACCTTGGGAAGTAGTGAGTTCCTAAATAGCGGTTGCTATTTTGAATAAACTCCAAAACTTTGTTTTGCCGGTGTGGAAAACGGTAACTTAAATTATGACTCTGATAGCAACAACCGGTGTGGAGAAGAATGATTAAGCCAAAATAGAAACGCTGTGCGTAAGTAAAATAGTGCCGCAAATGGCAACGACTGGTACGGTTGATCTAATGGACACTTTATTAGCGTTATAGTACGTTCAGACTACAGAGTTATAACATGTTACAGCGCTATCTTGATGGTGGTTTCTGTGTTGCAATTAGTTGACAACCGTTATAACATGTTATAACTCTCCAGTCTGGACAGCGTTTAAGATGAAACTGTCGGAAGAAAAACTTTCAATTTTAGTGTCCTCTTTCACGGTCCCTTTCATCCAATGAATACCCCCAGTATGCAAGGTAATTTTGTGGTGTTGCTGCCCCCTCGGTAGAGATGAAATTTTGCGCGCTTTTTTATCAAAAAAATCACACCAAAATCAGAGATGTCCCATTTTTTAATTACTCGATTAACAACTAATCGATTATTTTTTGTTCGCTGTTTTTTCATCAACGAGAGCGCAAAACTTGTTTTAAACGATCGGTGATGATCCTCTGCAGAAGTTAATGGTTATAGCAACAATCAATACGAAACTAACGATTTTAAATTGGCTTTAGTAGCCTATTGGTCCCAAGCAAACGATTAACGTACCCTATTCTAAAGCCCTACAGTAAAAGTATGGACGTCTGTCAAAAGTTGTTCCAATCGAAACGTCAAATGCACCGCTTTGCTCGATTGGAACAGCTTTTTTCAGTTTTGTGGTGACAGTCGTCCATACTTTTACTGTAGGGCTTTACCCTATTCTAGTTGAAATTCTATTACTACAATATGTTTGTTTTGATTCTCTATGAAAGTTTGACAGATAACATCAGGGGTGTGTGGATTCATGCAGAACATGCAGGGGTGAGTGAAATAGCTTGGGACTGCTTGGGACCGTTGTTCTGGTACTGAGTGAGCCAAAAATAATAATAATTTTCTTCGGGACCCAGTGGTCTTAGAGTTACCTCTATGCTTACAGTACGTTCAGACTACAGAGTTATAACATGTTATAGCGCTATCTTGATGGTGGTTTCTGTGTTGCAATTATTTGACAACCGTTATAACATGTTATAACTCTCCAGTCTGTACACAGCAAAAAAAAATGTAAAATCGATCAACGTAATTCAAGCTGATGTATGAAATAATGATGTAATAGCAAAAAGCAGATACAATATTACATCAATGGATGTAATTTTGTTCGCAAAATCGATGTACATCGTACAATGTGATATTACACAACCGATGGATTGACCTGGTTGCAGCAGTTTCGATGTAATATTCAACAACTTTTTTTGCTGTGTACAGCGTTTATCGGCATGATATAACCGATTACAAATATTTTACTGTTCGGTTCGTTAATCGACTAATCGATTATCCGAATGAAAATCGGCCATCACTAGATGAATGTGAAACGTCATTTCAAATATAAGGACCGTACATAAATAATGATACAATTTGAAAGGGACCGGGTCTAATCACAAATTACGTCCCCACGGTAACTGAAATAAATACGAGTGTTCACCGGTAACTCTCCAGTCTGGAGCGTTTATAATTCAGTGCCAACATTTCAAAGGGGCGTAATTGCATTTGTAAACAATGGTTTTAGTCGTCGATTTCTCGCGAATAAAAGCTCACTCATGAAAAATAATTACACCAGCAGCTAGAGGAATGTTTCCTCTATCAGCAAGCAATGTAATTTTGTTGAGGTAAGATTTCATTCGCGAGAAATTTACGGTTAAAGTCATTGTTTACAAAAGCAATTACGCCCCTTTGAAATGTTGGCACTGAATTGCTTAGCCTGAACGACCAAACGCATGTACAGTTTTGCGATGTTTTATTTTGAAGCGTTGCGCGTACTCAACCGCGACTGACGTATGCAACACTTTTGACAGGTAAACAAGCCCAACGCGACACTTTTATCGCTTCTGCTTGTTTGCTGATTGACGAGCGATTAGAACTTTTCTCCAGCTTAATAAAAAGTTGAACACGACCCTACTCATGATCCAGCTAAACAGATTTATTGTGTAATTTTACGATAAATTATTGCATTTTCGTATTACCCAAGTGATAATGATTCAGTGATAAGGAACCTCCTGAAGAGACCCGCACCAACATGCATTGCTACAACATTCCAACAATCGATCCGGATCTGCGTCACGAAGAAACCATCCTGCAGGCCATCAATGCATTCGAGTTCCTGAACGAGGTTATCGAGGACGTCTTCGGCAAGGTCAACAGACGGATCGAGTCCAATCGGGAGCGACTGTATCGACTCGACGCCCGCATCGAGAAGGTCAACGGAGATGTGGCAAAACTAAAGGAAACCAAGGAAGCGATCGTAATCTACTCACCGTGTCGCTATCCGGGGGCAGACCTGGAGACCACTGTGCTGCCAACCTTTACCAGTGCGAATGGAATTCGGATGAGGGATGGTGAGCCGGGAACCTTGCGAGACAGGTCGTATGTGCCGAGCCACTCGTACCAGGAGAAGATTCAATTTTATCATGTGAAGAGCTCGACGGATAGACATAGGATCTACTCATTTGAAGGCGCGAATGAAGTACAAGCAAGAAAAGAGGTTCAGTTTTTGGATTCGATTCTGCTGTTCAACAGCCGGGATTTTGCTGTGGATTTTAAGGGAGCAGCGGAAAAATCTAGATCCGGAAAGAAAACACCGGGTAAGATCCGTGAGGAGCGGATTCTTTCGTCTTCCTCGCCAATCATTCGGAATCGTTCGAAGCGAAAGGGACAGGAGATATTTTACACGCCGGTGCTGAACGATGCACCCAAGATTGACGTTCCAGTGGATCTGCCGGATTTGCCTGGAATTGTGAGCAATATTCAGTACGCCGGGAATAATACGCTGATCGCTCCGTCGCTGCAATTGGCAGCGATAGCCGATCAGTTACCGGAATTGGAAGATCTGTCGACAACGGAAGCGAAGGAAACAATTCCACTAGTGGCAAACATTCCACCGCCAGTGCCTTCATCCATACCCGTGGGCATAGCTACTGTTTCAACAGTTAGTCCAGCGACGGTTGCAGTAATTGCTCCACCTCCTCCACCGCCGCCTCCACCACCACCACCGCCAGCAGAAATCCTAGCACCTACCCAACAGAATAACGCAAAGAAACCCGACGAGAGCGACGGAAAACCAGTTAAGAAGAAAGAAGTTCCGAAAGCTGCTGCTGGTGATGCTCATTTCAATCTGATGGAAGCCATCCGCAAGGCTGGTGGCACAGAAAAGGCTAAATTGAGGCACAGCGAAATCAAGGAAGGCAGAACGGATCCGGTAAGATTTTTAAAGCTGGAGTTTCCAGAAATCAGTCAATTTTAACGTTGAGATTTTTTTAGACTAAGCCCTCCAAAGCAAAGCCGCAAAATTTCATCGACGACTTGCACAGCAAACTGCAGATGAGACGCAAAGGAATCTCCGGTGCGCGAGAAAACCAGGAACCCGGAAATGTAATTGATCGTCTTTCGGCGTTGATTCCTCCTCCGCCACCGAAGCTGGATGCCAGCGCAAGCGAGAGTAACGACGAGGATTGGGATTAGGCTTAAGAAGAGATTGTTTTTTTAATTGTTACAGTTTTGTGTATTATTATTATTCTCGTTAGTTCACACGTTTTGGAAAATGATTAAACTTACACTATTTTAGTAAATAATATGAATCGATGAGCGTGTTCATACCGTACCGTCCGAAAATCCAGCTTATATGGGCTTGATTTTGAAGTGCAAACCAATCAGTGAGAACACCAGACACTTTAGATCCTGTACCAGATAGTAGAAGCAGCGGAGTCCTTCCGGATCCTTGGACTGATTGACATCCACCAGCGAACCCGTTTTCGAGGTAGTAAACGAAATATGTTCGTCTCCGATGACGATTTCCAGCTCCTAAAAGCACACGATGTACTTCAAATATACCGCAAGCAATTATCGCACCTTAACACCTACCTGTCGTCCGACGCGATCCGGGGGTGGCCACAGCGAGTCATCTTCCTGCATGATTTCCGAATCGACGATGATCCGCTTCAGCTCCTCCATCACCGACTGGTGCACGTAGGCTTCCTTCCGGATCATGGTGTCGTTCTTGTAGTTGGAATTGTTGGCATATCGCAGCTTGCCGTCCGGGCGGAATTCGAACTCGAGAAATTCGTGCCCAAACTTACCCTTGTGACCGACGTAATATCGCAGGTAGAAATCTTCGGTGCTGGAGGCCATCCTTCTGGGGTGAGATTGCAGCTCGGAAAGCCGGAATTGGTCCGATTGAAGCGGTGAAAGCGGCTCACTTTTCTTCTACTGATGCCGACAACGAAAGAATACGAAAACGCGAGTGCGATGCGAAAACTTTCTCGCGTCACATTTGACAGCGGGGGGTTTTGACATTTTGCGGTTTGCGATGTTTTGTGTGAGTAGAAGTCGCGCGACAATTAAAATTTTATGACGTGTTGCACGTCTTATTGCGCCCATGAGCATACCTGTCGAACAGCCAGCGCGCAAATGAACCATTTCGTCAAGGTTATTTTTCACACAGATGGCGCCATGTCATGTGTTGATGACACTCGATTTGTGATTTCCCTCTCACAGACTTTAGAATAGAGAGCTGAAAAAGTTGTTGGTACCTAGGTTGGTACCCTTATTTATGTAATTAGATTAACATCCGTCCTTCGTTGTTTGCACACTGCAATACCTTCTAAGCCCTCCCGTAAAAAAAAAGAACGATAGAGGTACAATGAAATGTATTTTAACCCGAGTTGTACCCATACAATAGAATTTATTGTACTTAAAATAAATTGTATTGTCCACAACGGAATTAATAACCATAGAATTTATTGTTTGCACAATAGAAACTATGGTAAATGGGAACAAGGGGCTTGTTATGTATCTTAACCGTACAAAAATCACTTTCCCGAACCAACTAGAGCCATTTACCATTTTTTTTTGTTTTTCTATCATTGAAAATTCATACTAGGTATATGGGACGTATTGTAGATCTATTGTGATAATAATATTTTAAATTTACTTGTATGATATACATAAAATAAGATAGATTGTTGGCAATAGTTTTGTTGTGATTTTAGAGTTACCTCTATGGTATCAGTTTGCTCGAAGATCAATTGGTACGCTTTTGGGAACTAGAGTCGTGCCAATCTATCAGTACCCTATCCATCGAAGAAACGCTTTGCGAAGCGCATTTTGCAGCAGGCAGCAGGACGTTTCGTAGTTCGAAGAGATTGCCACTCGTCGTTTTCTCGCTCTGGAGCGACGCCTGAACGCTAATCCATTGCTTAAGAAAGCGTATTCAGACTTCATCGAGGAGTATCATCGGCTGGGGTATATGGAGGAAGTGATGGTCGGTCCCGTCGTTCAAGACGATCTGGTGTCGATCACTTTACGGTTTTGGGTCCCTCGGTTGTGTCGGATATTAGAAAATGTACCGGCAAATCCTACTTTTCCTGCTCGATCGGCGTTATCTCAAGATTCTTTGGCGAAATTCTCCATCGGAACCTTTGTGAACCTTCCAACTTACGGTCCTTCGTGCGCTACCTACCTGGCAACCTGGTGCCTCCAGGAAATCGCTAGAATTGGAGAAGCCACACATCCAGAAGCATCTAAAGTCGTATCCAAGGACTTCTACATGGATCACCTATTCACTGGCGTTGATGACGTCAGCGAAGGGCAGCAGCTTTGTTTCCAGTTGTTGAACCTGCTTCAGTCTGCTGGATTTTGTCTTCGGAAATGGTCTTCGAATTGTCCGGAGGTCCTCGAACACCTTCCAGCAGATCTACGAGACGAACGAACCGTTTTCGACCTTAATTCTTCCTCCGCTCCGATCAAAACGCTAGAACTGAAATGGCAGACTACGGCAGACGATTTTCCCTTCGACGTACCCAAATGGAACAATACAGCTACAATTACCAAAAGAATCGCGCTATCGGATGCTGCCAAACTTTTTGATCCTCTGGGACTGGACGGTCCGGTAATCGTACAGGCTAAATTCTACCTCCAAGACTTGTGGCGGTGCCACAAGAAATGGGATGAACCTCTCGACGATGAACTTCAGCAACGATGGCTTGAATTCCGGGAAAACCTCGAAGCTCTCCGGAATCTTTCTGTTCCTCGATGGGTTGTACCAGTTATCAAACCAGTGTTGATTGAAATGCATGGATTCTGCGATGCTTCAGAAAAGGCCTATGGCGCATGCATTTACCTTCGTGCTGTAGCTGATGACGGAACAGTCAAAGTAAACCTCCTCGTCGTAAAATCAAAAGTAGCACCCCTTGGAGACTCTCGAAAGCAGAGGAAGAGGTGACAATTGGCTTCATCCTCTTTTATTTCTATCTCTATCTCTATCTTTATCTATCTGTATCTCTATCTTTATCTCTATCTTACGCACATGAAATCGGCCAATCAGGAGCTGGTTCACGTTTGACAGAAAAGTGGTTCATTTTCACCCCCGTATTGTCACCTCTTCTCTTAGGGTCTGCTTACCTCGGCAGGAACTTTCGGCAGCACTGCTCCTCGCACACTTGTTCCAGAAGGTGCAAAACGCCATCACTCTCGATACTAAGTCGTTTTTCTGGTCAGACTCCACCATTGTCCTCCATTGGCTAGCCTCTACTCCGTCCCGGTGGAAGACGTTTATTGCAAACTGGGTCTCGGAGATACAACATGCAACGGCTGGTGGATTATGGGTTCATGTCTCGGGCACAGAGAACCCTGCAGATATAATTTCTCGGGGAATGGATCCTGAGCAACTCTCATCGAACAATGCTTGGTGGCACGGACCCGACTGGTTAGCGAATCCCTCTCGCTTTTGGCCTGCTTTCGTGCATACATCGGATGAAGATTTCGTCGTTGAAGACCTCGAAGAACGACCAGTTGCCCTAGCAATCCAGACTGTGCCACCAAATCCAATATTCGTTCTACGGTCATCGATGTACTTAGGTTTCCGACGTTTTTTCCAGGTTCTGATTTTCCACGATGATCGTTAGTGTTTGGCATCGTCTCTAGTTTGATATTTGTTGTTCTGCGGGAGAAAATGCTGAGGAAAATAATGATACCGATTATGGGGAGGATGGTTATCCCTCCAAAAAGGGACCAGTGTGGGAAATGCAGACTGTAGCTTTTTAAACGGAGTAAGTCCAAGTCTTTCCGTGTTTCTGTTTGCAGTTTGTGGAGATGTTCCATAGTAAGGTTCAATATATGACTGTCCTTGGAAATAGCTATTCCGTCCAGATGAAGGTGGACCGGATTTCCAGCAGTGGTTCGAGTTCTGCCGGCATACGAAATGTTGTTGATTCGTATGGTGCAGTTCTCGTATCGAATCAGATATGATCCAGTGAGAATTCTTTCATTGGTGCTGCAATCTGATGATAGGGTGAAATTGCTCATTGAATTCACCAGTAAATAATACTTATCTATGGGAACAATCTCCTGCTGTATGGGATTTGATGAATAGTTGCAAATGGCTGGTCTCGCATCTATTAGGTTTGGTATGCATGTAGACTCGGTTACTTCAATGTCCTCAATTCGATAAATGATGGGTTCTAGGTTCTTGACGATAAATTTCTGTGTCGGATGGATCAGGAAAGATCTCTCTGTGGTGTGGATTTGTTGTTGGTTGTGGAATGTTGGGAAAACATAGATTCTACGAAAAGTTCTGGGGTCTAACTTCGGCATCTTGATGAATAATACGATCTCCTTGCGGTTGGTGGCGATTGCTGTCTTGGCATAGATTACGACTTCGGAATTTGAGTGAACTGTAATATTTTCTCTCTCTAAATCTCTCCTAAACATTTCAATTTCATTTTTTGATAGAATTTTTTCATTTAATAATCCTACTTTTGCTAAGGCTATAGTATCAATAATGTTGTTTATTTTATCATTTAATTCCTTAAGGTTAAAAAGAATATTTATGGAATATAGTTCCGAAGTTTTTGAATTGAATAGTTGAATGGCATCTTTTGTTTTAAATACTGTCTCTTTTAACTGTAATGCCATTTCTCGGTTAATTTTTACTTGTATATTGTTATTTGCTACGAGATTGTTAATGGTTGAATTGATTAACTTTAAATCATCTGCGTCGGGGGATCCGGCAATAAATTTCCAAACTTTTCCTACTGCGTCCCAACGTTTCTGTCTCTTGGTTTGTAAAATAGTTCCTAGTGAGAGGTTTATGTCGTCAAATTTTTGGACTATCATATCTGTAAACTGAGTTTTTCCTACTTTATCAAATTTATCTCTCAAATCGGTTACATGGTGGTTCAAGATTTCTATGTTAAAATGATGTAGGTAATAATAGGAATGAATCTGAATTCTGCTAACACCTTGTTCGAAAACAAAAATTGGTTGGTCTATCTTTTGTATTTGTAGCGTCCATGTTTGTCTCAATAGTATTGGAAGTCTGAAAGAAATGAAAGATTGGGTTTCGTCAGTCTAGTCGTCGTTTATATCTTCCTGATTTTTATGTCGTTCTTATGCACGCGTCGGCCGTCATCTGTTTTATTGGTACTTTTGTTAACTTCTGCAATTTTGATTTTTTTTATAACGAGGGGTTGTCTTTACTCTCCGTCTAGTCTTTTCGTATGCGTTAATTCCTGTTTCAATGGCGGTATGTCTTGTCTTGCCATTGTGATATTTCAAGTCTTTAGTCTGAGTCTTTAGTAAATTTTTGTGTACCGTTTCAATTATATAAGAGCTCTGGGAACTTGGAATTACTACCTCGTATGGGGTGTACTTTGTAGAGGAGTGGATAGTATTGTTGTACTTAATTATAGAAATTTCCATTATCTGTTCCGGTTCCTTTCCGGGGTTTTCAGCTTTGGTGATGCGATAGATTTCTAATAAGGTCGAATGAAATCGTTCTACAACGCCATTCATTTCGCTTCTACCTGTAGCCACAATGTAAGGCGTGATCTTATTAATGTTATAGAAATTCACTAGCTCCCCGGTCATAAATGACTTTTCTTGATCCATTACTAGCGTCTCAGGAAACTTGAATTTCGATAACACGTCTTTCACAGCCGGTACAAGGTCTATGGCAGCTCTGGACTCAATCAGACGAGCTTGAGCATATTTAGAGAATTTATCGACATATGTTAGATATTGTAAATTGTCTATAAAAAGTACATCAATATGGGCTATTTGGAAAGGGTTGTTTGGTACTGGAGTTTTCTGAATAGGGAAACGTATAGGTTTTCTGTCATATTTGTTTTCATGACAGATCTGACAGTTCTTTATAAAATCATGCAATTTTTAAGAAAGTTTTGGATAGTAAAACTTCCTCAAAATTTGCCTTTTATTTTCTTCTGCGCCGCGATGCGCACGATAGTGTTC